ATTTTATTTATTGTGTGTTTTTTTTATATGCATGCAATTATGTAGTTGTGTAGTTTTTATTCATTTCGGTTAGTTTTATTTATTTTAGTACATCAGTTTAGATTTTAAATGAAAATGAGAAATGTAAGTTGAAGTTGATTAAGTGATATATATATATATATATATACATTCAGTTTTCATTTAAACTTTAATTAGTTATAGTAATTTTATTGTGTGTTTTTTTTATATGCATGCAATTATGTAGTTGTGTAGTTTTTATTCATTTCGGTTAGTTTTATTTATTTTAGTACATCAGTTTAGATTTTAAATGAAAATGAGAAATGTAAGTTGAAGTTTATAGATTAAGTGAGTTTTTTTAAACCTAAAATAGACAAAATATTTGTCAATGGGGTCAGAAAAGTAATCTTGTTTTCCCTTTGAATTAACTTAATTTTTTTGTTACTGTTGTTGTTCATTTCTACTTATTTAAAGCATAAACTCATATAATTCTGATACATATTTCAGAAAACAAGACTTGATATTGTTTGTCATTTTGATTCTCAAGTAAACATATCTTAAGAATGTTTAGATATCTGTACCAGAAAACCAGACTAAAATAAAAAAAAGAAAGAAAAGTATTTTTTCCCCTAGCAAAGGGTTTTGGTTTTACTATAATAACTTTGGACCACGACTTATTTGGCACTATTTGAGCAAAACCAAAAATCTGATTTCATACATTTGATTGAGGCACATAACCAAACAGGCCCAAATCCATGACATGTGAATGTTTACTAAAGCATGTCTGGACGTACCACTCAAAGATTTGTAGTGACGCTGCGCTCGGAGCTCTTCGAAGCTGAACTCTGCGTCTTCCTGATACACCTGATCTTTACAGTACATGATCTGCACATGACCCTCCTGCTGAGACGCATGCTCCTCCTGAACCTGGCTCGTCTGGGACGGGACGCCTGGAGCGCTTCGGTGGAAGCCAAAATGTCATGATTACAAAACATGAGGTGAGAGTTCAATTCAAACAGTCACAGACAGATATATGTAGGCCTGTCGCAATAATCAATATATCGACTTACCGCACAATATGTGACCCTGGAGCACAAAACCAGTCATAAGGGTCAATTTTTCGAAATTGAGCTTTATACATAATCTGAAAGCTGAATAAATAAGATGTATGGTTTGTTAGGATAGGACAATATTTGGCTGAGATACAACTATTTGAAAATCTGGAATCTGAGGGTGCAAACAAATCAAAATATTGAGAAAATCATCTTTAAAGTTGTCCAAATGAAGTTCTTAGCAATGCATATTACTAATCAAAAATTAAGTTTTGATATATTTACAGTAGGAAATTTACAAAATATCTTCATGGAACATGATCTTTACTTAATATCCCAATGATTTTTGGCATAAAAGAAAAATGGATAATTTTGACCCATACAATGTATTGTACAAATATACAAATATAATACATTTTGTGGTCCAGGGTCACATTTGTGTTTATTATAGCATTAAATTAGCTATATTATCTAAATACTATGCATACTGAAGCCATCTGAGGCTAAATATGAACAGTCCCTTGTCATTGGAGTTAAAAATCTCCGTTTGTGTTCTACTGAAGAAACAAAGTCACCTACATCTTGGATGCCTTGGGGGTAAGCAGATAAACATCACATTTTCATTTTTGGGTGAACTATCCCTTTAAGTCTGCTTTTGTGCTCCAGGGTCACATATATGTACATGACCTCAATTTTTGGTGATGCAATATTGCCCATTATATTTACATAAAAACATTACAAAAAACACAATAACATTAAAAAAAATGCACTTGCGCCTGTGTCTTTTGCAGCTTCTCGTACCTAACGTGGTGTAGTCATGAGCTGCTCGTTCAAATTTTAAAAATGCTTCTACAAACAAGCTTAATCTGCAGATATGGTCTTGTTTAGAGGGATCTGTGCCTTTGTGCATACAGACATCTGACTGCTGAGTAGTGGTTGTGTTTTTCAGCAATAGTGTGCACCGTTCATTTACAGAGAAAAGAAAATCTGTAGATGGAAATATCTCCAAACAAGTTCTTTGTGTTACTTTGCACTTTTTGTTAGAAAATATTTACTATTTATTCAAGTTTTTTAAGGTATCTAATATTTTGATACTTAATTTCCATGATCTAAATAT